TAAAAATTTTTTTTAGGCCCGCCCAGGCCCGCACACCGGGCCGGGCCGGGCTTTGGGACCCAATGCAGGCCTCTACCGTACGGGTCAATCGACCCGGGTAAGAGCTCTATCTATAAAGCATAAGCATTATTCTTATTCTTCCCATAATGAAAATAAATTGGTTTATATGAATTTAATTGTATTTCATCATCCATATATTAAAATTTAACCTTTGAAGTGTCTTCTACGGTGCAGCTCTTTTATATTTATTTTGCATGATATTCGAAATCACTTAGAAATATAATACAGAAAACAAAACAACAAATGCTATACTATTTGAATTCCTTACACAACATATGTTATTTCAACTAAACAATTATAGAAATCTGTTTATTCATAACGCTGAAAGTCTAGTATCAAATAAAAAAGAAAAAATTAATAAACGGCAAAATCTTTTTTGAACTACATTACGGCGCATTTGTAAATTTCCCAAAATTTGAAAAAGTTTGACTACCGATAGTAAGTCAATTTAATTTGACTTCATATTTTGCCAAATATTCGGTCTATTATTTATCAATTTAAACTAAATTTTAATTTTTTCCTCACCCCAATTCTATAGCAACATAACGTCTAACCCATCTTCCCACCATTCAACCCATCTTCCTACTATATCTGCTTAATTTCCTCAATTCCGCAAATGCGCCGTAATGATAAATGTTGTATTAATGCTAAGTAATTCCCTCGTGAAATTTTAATATATAATACAACCATCCTAGTTTAATCACTAAATGCTAACTCTAAAGAGCTGTAAGAATAGTTTTATAGCACAGTACAACCCTCTCATCTTAATATTAATTATAAAAAGCTGTTAGAATGGTTTTTTTATCGATTGGACTTTTAATGATTGGTAAAACTCACATGACCGCCATCTTCATTCACTACTACTGGTCTACTTTTTACCTTAACCTCTATCCATGAGAATGATTTCCCATAATTTCAATAGATCATACATTGTAAAACTAACTAAAAAAAAGCGTTTAAATCTAACCCGTCATTTAATAACGGGTCTAACATCTAGTACAGTGTTATCACTAGAAGGCCGCTAGAAGATCACCAGAAGGCCACTAGAATAAAATTAATAGTGGCACTGGAACTTTTACTATTGCAAAACTTACTGGAAACCAAAATTAATCTAGTATCAATATATATATATATATATTATAACATGCTTTCAATAGAGGCATTAATCATCCAGATATCTGATAGGTCTAACGAAGAAATTAAATATAAAGAATTTAATTTTGTATGATCTTGTTAATTTTTGTATGTAGATAAATTTCATGTGTAATTTTAAGATTTCTTGACAAACTTCAAATTTCGATGACCATTTATTAAGAGATTGTTTATATTATTTCAACGATTACTAAGTGAATTCTGGAAGAACCTTTCCGGGCCAAAGAACTCATTTTTAACATTAAAAATAGATAAATAAATAAATAAATAAATTAGTTTCCAGCAAGAAAAATCTTCGTCAAACTTTCTTACTGGAATCACCTGCCTTCAGTCTGCAAGATGTAAAACACGTGTCTGGTAAAGGATTCCTAGCTCGTGATTGGTAGTTATATCATAGATAATCTGATCCGAAATTTTTTTTGAGCAGCTTTTTGATATGTACGTGACGTTAGTTAAAAAAAAACGTAAAGCATTCACCGTAAATTATATTCCGAATGAGTCAAGAGGAAAATTTTTCAATTAAGCCCCAGAAGTTTACTCCTCGCCTGAATACCTCAGAATGGCCATTATTACTAAAGGTATTTTTTATATTGAAATAAAAGTATTTTAATTAATCGCTAAAGTCCTCGTTGTATTCATACAATATAGAATTATGATAAGCTTCATGTTCGTACCGGACACTACACACCTGTCGTTCAAGGATGTTCTCCACTTAAGCGTGATCTGGATGAATACATAAGGTATTAATTTACATATAAGGGAAGTTTTCATTGCATTATTCGATAATTTTTTTTTTTATTACAGATATGGAGTAATAAATCTTGATAAACCAGCGAATCCTTCTTCACATGAAGTAGTCGCTTGGATTCGTAAAATTCTTGAAGTCGAGAAAACTGGTCATAGTGGCACATTAGATCCTAAAGTTACGGGTTGCTTGATCGTTTGTATTGACCGAGCTACTCGCTTGGTTAAATCTCAACAAAGTGCAGGTTAGAGGATATAGCAATTAACTAATTCAGTGAATTAAATATTATTTGAAGTTCCTTAAATTTCAAAAAACTTTTTATGTATAGGCAAAGAATATGTTTGTGTTATTCGATTCCATGATGCTTTAGAGTCTGTCAAAAAGTTTTCTTCTGCTTTGGAGACTCTTACCGGTGCTCTTTTCCAACGACCGCCTTTGATTTCTGCAGTCAAACGGCAATTACGTATTCGTAGTATTTATGAAAGCAAGTTAATTGAATTTGATAATAATCGTCATTTGGGCGTGTTTTGGGTGAGCTGTGAGGCTGGAACTTATATCCGTACACTTTGTGTTCACCTGGGGCTTATTCTTGGTATTGGGGCACATATGCAAGAACTTCGGCGTGTTCGCTCGGGTGCGATGTCCGAAAATGTAAATTTTATGTTTGGTTTTTTTTTATTATTGTAATTTATTATTTACGAGTAATTAATCATCTAAACTCTTGTAAAATTAGGATGACATAGTCACATTGCATGATGTGTTAGATGCTAAATGGGTCCATAAAAATACTAAAGACGGTAGTTAAAACATTAAGCTATTCAAATTCACTAGTATTTATTAGATTTTTAAGTAACTTACACAATTTTATTCATAATATTATTTTCCAGAATCATATATTCGAAGAGTTATTCGACCACTTGAATCTCTCTTAGTATCATATAAACGAATTGTTGTCAAAGATAGTGCTGTTAATGCTATATGCTATGGAGCTAAATTAATGATACCAGGTCTGCTCCGGTATGAAGAAGGGATTGAAATTAATGAGGAAGTTGTTCTTATGACTACAAAAGGAGAAGCAATTGCTCTCGGAATAGCTTTGATGACAACTGTAGTTATGGGAACTGTAGATCATGGTAAGGATCCTTGCAAAATTTTTTACACTGAACTCGCTAAATTCAACCTGATAATTTTTATTACAGGTGTTGTTGCAAAAATAAAACGAGTCATCATGGAGCGCGATACCTATCCAAAAGTTTGGGGATTAGGGCCTAAGGTATTTATCGTTTGTATTATTTAAACATATATATATATAATTTACATTCAATTTTTACCCATAATATATTACCATGTATGTTTATTAGGCTATGGAGAAGAAAAAACTGATCTCTGAAGGTAAATTGGATAGACACGGTCGTGTCAATGATAATACGCCAACAGATTGGAAAAAATCATATGTTGATTTACGTGGAATTGGAGACAAAAATGCTTCAGATACAGCACAAATGGAAGGTCTAATACCTTTGACAACGGAATCTAAGCCTACTACTACATTAATACAAGAAGTTGTTGATAATACGTCTGTGAACACCGAAGAAGAAAAATCTTTAAAGAAGGCATGTAAATTTCCGTTTATGTAATTTAATTCATATGAAATGGATGCCTAATTGATTACTCAATAAATTACAGAGAAAGATTGAAGAAGACTCTCCAGAGGAAGGAAAAATAATTAAAAAAGAAAAAAAGCATAAGAAACCAAAGGTTCATGAAGACGAACAACCGCAATTCCCTGTAAATATAAGTTATAAAGTTGTTTGTGGTATACATACATTCATTTATATGATTTAACAATATATGCTTCTTAATATTATTACAACTCAGGAAAAGCCGGACGATGATGATGGAAAGCCCGAAGGATCGACTAAAGAATCGACTAAAGATAAGCCAAAGAAATCGAAGGAGAAGAAAGAAAAAAAGGAGAAAAAAGAAAAGAAAGAAAAGAAAGAGAAGGAAAAGGGGAAAGCAAAAGCCCCGAGTTGTTAGTACGTCTGAAAAATCATGACCCGGGTAACTCGACTAAGTGCTTTCCCAACTCCGAATCAAATTATGCTAGCACAAATAATTTTGTAAATTCCATAAAATAAACTAGCTTTCTTCTATAATTATAATATGAAATTGATAAAATATTTGAAGAATTGCACAAGAACTTTACTAGAACTGATTCATAACATACCAGTATAATATAATACATTTCTAACTCCTTTTAAACAACTCAAGCGCCTAGTTACATTACCTAATTTTTCATATCAGATATTTTTCTCCTTCTGCATATACTGTTACAAAATTATAATCTCTCATGAGTGTCATTATACGAAAGGATTTTAATTTAAACTCAGAATTATAATCTATGGATACTATTTAAAAAAATTGATACAGCAAGTTCGTTGACTTCGGACTATCACATGATCATCTAGATCATGTAATTATATAAATTAACATATGTTAAAATTGTTTTTAAAACCTCAGATATATATTATTCTTTGTGATTTCTAAGCTAAACTGTCTTATAATACTGTATACAGTTTTTTTTTCGTTACGTAAAATACTTTTATTTTTAATTTTTTTTGTAATATAAAACAAGTTGTACGTATAATGATTTTGATTAGTAAACTTTAATTTTAGGTAGATTCGAAATTTCTCTAACGTAAAACTTCAGGTATATATATATTTGATAAGCCAAACAATAAGTAAAACTCGATAAACTGAATCAAAATTTGAAAGTTATAATAAGTACTGATTAATAAAACGTAATGAACTTGATATAATATAGACTTATTAAACAATGAATAAAAAGCTCGATAAATTAAATCATTAGTTAGGCGCGAAATAATTTCATTATCGATAACATAGTAAATTTAGAATAACGTTGCTTCAAATGCGATCAGATTTTTGTACTAACTTTCGTATTAAATTTTTTAAGCAAAATTTTATTCATTTTTATTAATTAATATGTTACAGTAATAATACAACAATACATAATAAACTTTATTTGTCGTTAAATCATTAAATCATTAAATATTATACAAAAAAGAAAAAAAAATAATAGAAAAAATATAGAGATACTTAGTTTCAGAGAAAATCTCTTACTTGTCCCAACCACCACGAAGAGGTGCATCTCATTGGTTGGGAAGGCCCGAAAAAGCGTTTATCGGTACACGAAGGTTATTCTAGCTTTTTATCAAACTTCTTAGAAGCTTGTGTTGCCGTGCCAATAAACACTCTCGCAGTAACCCCAACACCATCTCCTCTAGAATCTCCCGACTAGAGGTAGGTTGTTCGTATAACATACGCTTTACCAATTCGCCAAACAACTTCCGCGTGTGAGCCAGGAATTGTCACGTCCAGCATTCACCGTGTACTCCGTATCCTCTCCATAAACCTTTTTGCTGTTAATGTCCAAAAAAAAAGGTACATAATGTCCAAGAAAGATGCGTAACCATTCCTCTTCCGGGAAATGGTAGATCTCGGACGGGGAGATACAAAAAGGTCGAGATACAATGCCTGCGAAAGAAGATAGCAAATCAGGACAAGAAAAAAAAAACAACTAGCAATAGTATTTATATATACAGCAAATTACTGATCTTCAAAACAACATTCACGTGACTTTTGGATCATGTAATTATATTATTGGCTAATTTGGCGACTAGCAAATCACATATGAAAATACATGTATTTAATTATTGAATGCGAAGCAGACAATACCTAATATTACGCTGTATTTAACCAGTAAAAAATAAACTTGATAAAGTTTAAAATATGCGCCCTAGACCAGGGCCGATGATTTTCTGTGATTCACAGAAAATAGCGAGAATTTCTCTTAATCACAGCTAGCCACAGAAATCACCCTTAGTCACCACAGAATATCACAGAATTCCAAAAAATACGAAGAATATCACAGATTTCAAAATATATCGCAGGATCTGACCATAAATTCAAGCAGGCATCGTGAAATGCCGTAAAGGTAGATAATAAATCAAGAGCGTGTTCGCTGGAATTAGTTGTTTTTAAAAAATTTATAATCGCATTAGATCACAGAAATTATCACATAATTGCAAAGAAATTCTAAATGTTATCACAGAATTAGACAAAAATTTTATCACATTAAATCACAGAATTTGTCTTAACCACACGCAGAATTTAGTCTTTACCACCGCAGAAAATCATCGGCCCTGCCCTAGACATGTTAAAATATAGAAGCAATCTTGAACTTGATAATTTTGTCTACACTCGACTATATATGAGTAACGCAAGGGAAATGAGATTTAAAATAATCAACTATAAACCAATGTCTCATTTTCCTTGGCGTCACTTATATAATCTAAGGCCAAACATCTCTTACATTTTTCTACTAGAAAAAAATAAATCAACTTTATTTTTGCTTAACAGGCTGAATTTTGTTGATCTGTGTTTTGCATTCCCCGTACAGTAAAGTTGGCAGGTAGGGTTTAAAATAGAGAATTCTACTTATCTCCTTATTGGCACGCAATGATCGATATAATCACTACTATTAAAATTAAAGCGAATAAAATTAAATACCTACAGTTAAATTATACAAATATAATTTCGATATCGTATTTATTCTTGTTTTGATGTATAATGAATTAAAAGTATCGATCATTTAATTTCAAACCTTAAATCTGGTTAAGTGAAATAATCACTGTCATAGGTGATCAGTAGTTATTATTTTTTTCACAACAGTTATGTAGAATAGTCTCGATTTAGGGTTTGAAATATCGATATTGTATCAAACATTTGAATCGGTAGACCATGGGCAGGGCCAATGATTTACTGCGATCACAGAAAATAGCCCTTAAAAACAGTTAACCACAGAAATCACCTTTATCATCGCAGAATGCC